TCCAAGTCACATAACATCTTTTCTTATTGCTCTGTCACTGACCACCCTGCCAAAGCAATAAATGCCAGAGATGCTCATATTCCATGACTGAAAAAAATAAAATGACCATGAGCCTGTGGCACCTTGACTTTAAGTGTTTTCCTTTAATATCTGGCATCAATTCAAAGAAATTAATGGACTCCATTTTTTCACAAAGCTTTGTTACATATGATTAAAGAACAGAAACACACTATTCAGTCTGAATGGTCTCTCCTAGTGTTCATGCTCCATACATGCAATCTGTTACTCTACATGATTAATCTACATTATTAATGTATCATATTGCTCTCTCTCACATAATTATCTAGTTTACCATTAAATGCATCCATACTATTTGCCTCATCTACTCCTGTGGTAAGAAGGTCAAATCACACTCAGTGAAGTTGTTTCTCAGGAATTCCTTATCACATTTATTAATGAGTATAGTTAATAAGTGACAAAGGTTTAAATAGAGGCTTCAACGTGTAAGTCATGGCAGAACAGAAGCTCTCTCCTGAGTCAATAGTAGGAGGTTCAAGTTCCCCTCCAAATACTTAAGCATAAAACACAAAGCTGGGCTTTCAGTAAAGTTCAGTGGAAACTGAGATGTTAAATCAAGGCCTTCACCACCCTCACAGGTGGACACAAAGATCCTTTGGCTCTACTTCAAGAAGAGGCAGGTCAGTTCCAATTTCCTGAATAGTATTTATCCCTCATCCAACATCATTAATAATAGACTATCTCGACATTAATTCAACATCTTTATTTGTTTAAAGATGCTGGTCTGGAATTGCATGGAATGAGTTCAGAAAAATATTGGAATAATCCTGTCTTGAGCTGCTGCATTCTCAGTATCAACCTTCCTTAGTGAAGGAAGCATTGAGGGGTAAAAAAAGAACAGATTCCATTTAAACCTTGAGAATGCAATGAACCAGTGAAAACCAGTCATCAGATGTACACATATCATTAAATTAATAAGATTTTTAATATACTCTCAATGATTTAAGATATTTCACTTTTGGAAACAATAACAAATACAATGAATATCGCTCAAGTTGTTCAGTGTACGCTACAAAGAGCTGAAAGCAGAAGTACAAAGGGCCGTGTACATATGCTCTGACGGGGACAAAGGACTGTATGGATAATCAAGCCTCACTACTCCACTGTCCACATCATTGGAGCAAATGCATTGATTCAATTACCAAAATGGTTAATTGCTTTTATTTAGTATGAAATAGAAATATCCACCAGGTTTCTTCAATGAACTCAAAATGATCCTTTTATTATGAACGAGTGGCAAACTTTGTTAACCCCAAATCTATGATCCCAAATTAAAACAATATCCTCTCAATTCCATAAACAGGCACACAACAAAAGCAAGTCACATCTTTGCAAAGATGATGCGTTTATTAAAAAGAAGTGGCAAAAAGAGAAGAAACAACTCCTGTCTGTCTAGAAACAAAGGATAAAATGTGATGACTTATTAGGATAGCTGAATTTCCTGTAGAGCTGTAGATTGGTGACAAAGATCCTATTAAGAAACAGGATTTCAGGACAGAGATGTCAGCTTTTGGGGTATCTTTCTTACATTGACTGCAGGAAAAACAGAACAGAATCATAAGACTAGACAGGGTAGTAAGGCAACCATTGGCATTAGCCCCAGTACTCTCAAAACCTGTCTTTTTCAAAAATCAGCAATTTGGCAATAACCCCAACTCTGATCAGCCTGAAAGCTTTGCTTAGCAATTTCTTCAAAGTCACCTGATTTACTGCAAAAAATTTTAGAATCCCTACAGTGGGGAAGCAAGCCATTCAGCCCATTGAATCCTCTAAACAGCATCCCACCCAGACTCACCACCCTACACTATATCTGTAACTCTGCATTTCTCATGGCCAATCCACCTAGCCGGCACAGCCCTGGACACTACAGGCAATTTAGCATAGCCAATCCACTTAACCTGCACATTTTTAGACTGTGGGAGGAAACTGGAGCACCCGGAGGAAACCCACGCAGTCACAGGGTAAATATGCAAACTCCACACAGACAGCTGCACAAGGGTGGACTCGAACCCAGGTCCCTGGCCCTGAGAGGCAGCAGTACTAACCACTGAGCCACCATATCTCCCCTAAGAAGGTGGCTTACAGCAAGAACACCTAAAATGTTTGGCTTCGTTACTAAGATAATCACATCATTTCAGTCCAGAAAATGTCCAAGTTGTCCAGTAGCAGTTTGAACAGCCTAGAAGCGATGCAAACTTGAATATCTGCGGTCAGCAACTGGTTTAGGTATGCATTGTAGGCATTAAAAACATTAGCAATGCATATGTTGCTTATAATACAAATATAATTGAACTTGAATCATTGCGATATCTATGTGCCTGAAATCAGGTGATGGGGAGAGGAGCATCTTCAATCAAGGGCAATTGTTTCCATGCTGTATGACTCAACGATTCTAAGAATGTGAAAGGTACAATCAAGAAATTAAATTCAGTTCATGCACTTACTCCGCAGTCTGTGGAGGGAGAAGGTGTTGCAGAAGGAGCTTATATCTGAATGGTTAATGCATCTTTACTGTTTAGCGATTAGATTCAGATGTGAATCATTTAGAATTGGAATGGGACAGAACTGTGCTTGTAGATATTTTCTAATCAACTTGTTCAGAGACGTTATTAAATACCTCTGCAGCAGGTGGGATTTGAACCTGGGCCTCCTGGCATAGAGATAGGGATACTACTATTGTGCCAGAAGAGTCCCGCTATTGTGCTTTTAACATAACGTGAACGTTTAGCAATAGGAAGAGCACACCATTCAATTCTTTGAGTTAATCTGCTGATCAATAATATCATAGCTAATTTCCATCTTTACTACATCTACTCTCCTTGGTTCCATAACCTGGAATCACAAGGATCTATCCAATCACAGTTTTAACATTTGCAGTCGACCCCCAAACACAGCAGCTTACTGGGGAGATAATTCCAGACATACACTTCACAGAAAGCGAAGACGTGCTTCCTGACATTACCCATAAATAGCCTGCCTTTAATCTAAACTGAGGATTACTCCAGATGTGATCAAACCCGAGCCCTGTACAGTCATAAAATAAATTCCATCCCTTGTAGATCTTACTCCTCACACAGTTAAACATCCACAATTTTCCCCAACAAATTACAGACTTCATTCTTCACGTCAGCTGAAGCCAAGACTTGTGCTGGGGGATGCATTGCATGTAGTCCCTCCCAGTCCTCTCTCCCAAATGTTGGTCTTCAAATGCAAAACTGGACAACGTCAGCATAAACACACGGCAGGGTCACCAAATGCAAGGTTAATGCCAGTCTCCCAATTTGTTGACAAACCTGCACTTCCTAACAGGAACCCCACTCAGTGAACAGGGATCAGGAGTGCTGCAGAGATTGCTGATTGCCATTCTTGGACGATTGACATCAAGAGTCACAATGCTGCCTCAGCCAGGTCAGATAATTCAATACAATCATTTGACTGTATGGCCCAGTCCCACTTAGGGCTATGCACAAAGCACACAGTAATCAGGAGAGCAATTGTCCAGCTCCAATGGCATCAGGCAGAGTCTGCATTATTTCACATGCTGTCATATGTAGTTTCAGGATATGATCATTCAACAGATTGGGAATTGAAGCTTTATTTATTTTATAGAATTACATTATGTACAGAATGGCCGGTGCTAGATGGAGAAAGAAGATGGCACCAGGCAAAGAAGCCGGCACCAGGCAAAGAAGCCCTGGTGAAGTATGTTTAAGAAGGATCTTCAGGAGTGGGGCATCACCTAAACTGGAGCAAGAAATTGTGATAGACTAGGGCTGGTGGCAGAGTCTTGCTGCTAATGCCTTCACATTAGACAAGAGAAACGAAATCTAAATTAAGGAAAATGGCACAAACAGATCATTCGGTCCAAGTACCAATGCTGGTGTTTATGCTCCACACAGTCCTTGTCTGTATCCTCATGGTCTCATTCTACTCCTCTCTCCCTGATGAGTTGGATTACATGACGTGCCAGAATCTCCTGGCTAACTGGTCAGGGGGAATCCTGCCAAGGGGAACACTAGCTGTCCAGTAGCCATTCGTTGAGAGGAGGCTGGAGGTGGATTTCTTCACTTAGGATGAGGAGATGCCAACTCAGAACTGCTAGCCAGAGGCTGACAGTTCTACACAGCAGAGAAACATAATGTCAGATCAGGACAGGGATAAATAATTGGGAAATATGCTGGATGCCAAACTGGCTATTTAGCATAGGCATCTCCCACCATTAGTTAAATCCCAGTAGTGGAGGGCTACTTGGCACCAGCCCCACCACTGTTATAAGGTGGTGGGTAAGTGGTGGGCAGACTCCTGCTGGATATAACAAGCTGCTCCCACCCCAATGTTTAAGCCAACCAGCAGGGAAGTGTAAAATCCAGCTCCACATGATTGTCCAGTTTAACTTCTCTAATGCAATGCGACAGTTCCTACAAACACACATTTTAAGTAAGAGTAGGCCAATCAGCTCTTATGAGTCTGCTCTTCTATTTGTTAGGATCTGGCTGATCAGACTGTAGGTCCAGCTCCACTTTCCTGGCAATCCCTGTATACATTGACTTGCTTGTCAATCAAGAAACTATCTAATTCAGCCTTCAAAATGCTCCCTGAAACTGCTTTTGCAGTTCGCTTGGGAAGTGAATTCAACAATCTAACTCAGCTGAGAAAGAAAATTTTTCTCATCTCACCTTAAATAGAAGATCCCTTATTTTTAAACTATGTTCCCAAGGTCTGGTCATTCCCACAAAGCAACATCCACTCAGCAGCCACTCTGTCAAGTCTCTTCAGGTTCTTACATGTTTCAATAAGATCACCTCTCATTCTTCTGAACTCCAATGGATATAGATTCAACCTGCTGCATATATCTGTCTCAAACACTCCCTGTAATAATGTGTTTCACTTTGTCACCGCTCTCTGAATAAAGAAGTTTGATGTGAATTCCTTATTGGATTTATTTAAATAGGCGAACAAATCATTGACAGCTGGAATTATAATAACAATTTACTTTACAAGCTCAAAACAGAAGTAACCTGTAGTTCCTTTCAGTTTGTAGTTTTGATTCCAAGCTTCTCCAAGGAATGTGAAAATAAAACTGCACTTATCTGATGCAGGCACTGAAATCCACAACACATTGTCCAGCTCTGCACTCAGTAACGTACAAGTACAGATCCATCATCATTGAACCATATTCTGCAGTATTCTTCAATGATTTATAAACTGTGATCACATTTTTATACTTCTTTATGAAAACTAGAAATTGAGCAAAATAGGGTAGGATTAATTGAAGGTATAGGTTCTGATGGAGTTAACTCTGGCAAGCTCCTGATAGTGTTTAACTGTGATACTGTTGTGTTGGTTGTATAATGCAGGTGATTGTAGACACCCATTGAAACCTGGTTCCAGTGATGTCTCAGACTGGATCGACTGTGGCTATTGCTTTGGCTGATTGAGCTAATTCTAGCAAAGCTGCAAACTGTGTGAAAGTTGACATCTGCAAACCCAGTTTCTGGACCTGGGAAAGACAAAAAAAAAAAATCATTGAGCCAAGTACAATCACAGACAGACAGACAGACAGACAAATATCACAGAGGCATATATGATAAATATAACCAATTTATTGACAATTGTATATTATTAATAGTATATTAATCGCTAGAACTACAGGTCATAGTTATGAAGAAAGCTGGAAAAATTGGGTGTTTTAAACTGGAACAGTAAGGGTTAAAGGAATCATAAACAGTTTTCAAAAACTAAATAAACTTTTGACAATGTAAAAAAGGCAGTGGTTAGCCAACAAGGGACAGAGAGAGAGTCATAATTAGACTTAGTGTAAGGAAATGATCTAAACTGGATCTGACCTTTTATTGAACAATATTACCTTCTCCAATACAATTCTACAATTGCTATGAATACACAAATTAGGAATAAGAATAGGCCAATCAGCCTTGAAGCCTGCTCTTCTATTCAATTAGATTGTAGCTAATCAGATTGTGGTCCTTACTCCACTTTCCTACCAACCCCTATACACTCAGACTGGTCTGTCAATCAAGGATAGTTTTGTAGGTCTCTGGGGAAGAGAATTACACACCCTAACGAACCAAAGGGGAAAAAAAAATCTCATCTTGTCTTAAACAGGACAGCCTTATTTTTAAACAGTTCTTTCCCCCCCTCTCCCAAAAAACCCACTACCAAGTTCTGGCTCTCTCCTGCAAAGGGAAATATCTCCTCAGCATCCATCCTGTCAAATTCCATCAGGTTTTACAGTTTTCAACAAGATCACCTTTCATTCATCTAAACTCCAATGGATACACGTTCTGCACTTCTACACAAAATAATCCACTCATCTCAGGAATAAGTTAAGTGAACTGTCTATAAATGATTTCTATTGCAAATATATTCTTTCTTAAATAAGGTGACTAAATCTGTACACAGTACTCCAATGTGGCCTCACCAACGCTTGGCACAACTGCAGCAAAACACCTTTATTTAAATATTTTACTGCCCTCGCAATAGACAATAACATTCCATGTGCCTTTCTACTCCCTTATTGTACCTGCATATTAACTTCTGATATTCATGTAGCAGGACATCAGATCCCCCTGTATCAGAATTCTGCAATCCCACACTATTTAAATAATGTGCTTATTTTCTATTCTTCCTGTTGATGTGAACAAGTTCAGACTTTCTTAAATTATCCTTCATGTCAATTTTTTGCCCACTCACAACTAATGTGTCCCTTTACAAACTCCTTATAACTTCTTCAAAACTTATTTTCCTCCTACCTTTGTGTCATCAGGAAAATTAGCCACAATTTATTTGGTTCCTTCATCTGAGCCATTGATATAGATTGTAAATAGATGAGGCGCCAGCACCGATCCTAGTAGCATTCCAATCATTATATCTTGCCAACCTGAAAATGGCCCATCTATGCTTACTTTGTTTCCTATAAGCCAACCAATTCTCTATTCTATGCTAAAATTTTACTCCCTTACACCATGAGATCTCATTCTGACTATATCCTTGGATATGGCATCTTGTCAATTGCCCTTTGGAAATTTAAGTACACCACATCCATAGGTCCCTCTTTATCCACAAAGAGGGCATACGAAAAGAGGCAGTACATTAATCATGAGTGACTCTAATCCATGTACATTGGGAGAATCAAATTGGCAGAGGTAGTCACAAGAAAGAATTCGTAGGGTGTATTGGGGACAATTTTCTAGAACAATACACCAAAAAAACAAAATCAGAAACAAAACAGGAGATGCTGGAAGAACTTCAGTTCTGAAGAAGGGTCACTGGACCCGAAACACTAACTCTGTTTTCTCTTCACAGATGCTGCCAGCCCTGAGACTTTTTTCTAGAATAATATGTTGTAGATCCTACCAGGGATCAGACTGTTTTGGATCTGGTAACATGTAATGAAGCAGGTTTAATAAATAATCACAGAGTAAAAGATCCCCTAGGAAACAATAGCCATAATATGGTAGAATTTAACATAAATTTTAAGTGAGAAATTTGGATCTGAAACAACTGTGCTAAACTTAAATAAGGATAATTACACAGGGATGAGGGCAAAGTTGGCTGGAGTGGACTGGGAAAGGAGTTTAGCAGTAAAGACAGTTGAGGGACAATGGCAGACTTTTAAGTAAATAGTTCATGATTCACAGCAAAAATATACCCCATTCAGGAAGGAGGACTCTAGAAAGGGGATAAACTGACCATGGTTAACCAAGGAAGTTAGGGATAGTATTAAATTGAAAGAAAAATGTAAAATGTGGCAAAGATTTTGATAAACCAGAGGATTAGGAAAGTTTAAAAAGCCAAAAAGAAACAAAAAAATTGACAAAAGTAAACTATGAGGATACACTAACAAGAAGTATAAAATGGACAGTTACAGCCTCTTTAAATATATAAAAATGAAGAAAGCAGCTAAAGTGAGCATAGGTCTCTCAGAAAATGAGGCTGGGGAAATAATAATGGGGAACCAGGAAATGGCAGAGGAATTGAATAAACACTTTGCTTTAGTCTTCACAGTACAGTTCCCAAAAGGTATTCCAAAATTACTAAATAATCAAAGGGCAAAAGGCTAAATCTAGAGAAAAAGTGCTAGGAAGTTAATGGCACCAAAGGCTGTTGGAGCTGACGGATTGTGTCCCGGAAGATTAATGGAAGTGGCTACTTAGATAATGGGCACACTGGTAGTAATTTTGCAAGAATTCTTAGATTCTGACTGCATTTGTGGGTGACACAAAATATAAGGGAAGAAGGTGAGGATGACACAAATTGTCTGCAGGTAATAGGAGGGCAGACAGATTGTTGGCTTTTATTGCAAAAGGAATGGGGTATAAAAATAGGGAAGTCTTGCTAAACCTATACAAGGCACTAGTCAGACCAAGCCTGGCATTCAGTGAACAGTTTTTATCTAAGGCAAGACATACTGGCATTGAAGGCAGTCCAGAGAAAGTTCATCAAGTTGATTCCTATTATGGGGAGGGATTTTCTTCTGAGGAGAGGTGGTACAACATTGGAGTTTAGAAGAACAAGAGAAGTTCTTATTGAGCATATAAGATTCTTAGTTGTAGATCCAGAGAGGTCGTTTCCCCTTCTGGGAGAGTCTAGGGCTGGAGGGCATTAACACAGATTAAGCACATTTAAGATAGAAAGGATATTCTTCTCTCAGAGGGCAGCGAATCTGTGAAATTCTTTACTGCAGAGGACTGTCGAGGCTGGATCTTTAAGTATATCCAAAGCTGAGATAAACAGGCTTTAAGTCAGTAGAGGAATCAAGGTTTATGAGGAAGGCAGGAAAGTGGAAGTGAGGATTATGAGATCAGCCTTAATCATATTGAATGGCAGAGCAGACTCATTGGCCAACTTCTGCTCTTTTGTCCTATGGTCCTCTAAGAGCTCTAAATATTAGTCAACTACAACTTCCTTTTCACAAAGCCATGTTGACTTTGTTTGATGGCATTGATATTTTCTCAAATAACCTCCTTAACAGATTCCAGCATTTTCACTCAGAGATATTAAGCGAACTCACCTGTAGTTTAGCTTTCTGCAGATATGGTCATGTGAATTCGGAGCAGTAGGCCATTCAGTCCCTTGAGCCTCCACTGCCATTCAATAAGATTATGGCTAATCTGATTACTCCACATTCTCTCCTACCAATAGAAACCTTTCACTCCCTTGCTTATCTATCTGACTTAAAAAGATTCAAAGAGTCTGCTCTTACTACCAGTCAGGAATAGTGTTCCAAAGATTCACAACCTTGTCGCTTTCCTTTCTTGAATAGAAACGTTACATTCATTATTTTCTAATCTGATGGGATCTTTTCAGAATTTAGGGAATTTTGGAAAATTAAATCCTATGTATTATTATCTCGGTATCTACTACTCAAGTTAGGTTTATTGCCTCTATCATTTTCTCCCCATCTTTAAATCCCATCTTTTCTGGCCTACATTGCCATGGTGGATAGACTTCGGGAATCAGAAAATGAGGTACTTACTACAGGAGCCCTAGCCTTTGTATTATATGGCTAATCCAGGTCAATCGCTGGCCTATGAAAACCTGTAGATGTTGATAATGGGTACTCGGAGATGGTAATATCATTGAATCTCAATGGGTGATAGTTAGATTCTATCTTGCTGGAGATGATCACTGCCCATCACTTGGGTGGCACAAATTTTACTTGCCACTTATCAGCCCAAGCATGGATATTGTCCAGGTCTTGCCGCATTTGGACATGGACTGCTTCAGTATTGGAGGAGTCATGAATAGTGCTGTACATTGTGCAATCATCAGTGAACATCCCCACCTATGACCTCATGATAGAGGGAAGGTCATTGATGAAGTAGCTGAAGATGGATGGCCCTAGGATACTACGCTAAGGAACTCCTGCACAGATACTCTGGACCTGAGATGACTGACCTCCAACAACCACAACCATCTTCCTTTGTGCCACGTACGATTCCAATCAGTTCACTAGACATTTTCAGCTTTTGAATTTTAATCATTTAGAAATGAACCCTGTGATTTATTTACTTTTATTTAAGTGTTTTATGAACCAACATTGCTATTTTTAGAGATTGGAGTACTCTTCTCCTCTGCCCGCTTTAGACTTTATGACCCAAGTATCATGTGACCTCTTTATTCTTCTAGCCAAATGCACCACCTCACACTTATCCATTTTGAAATACATTTACCAATTAAATATTTATTTATATCTTCCTGCTGTGTAACAATATTTCTCTGCATTGACTACACTTGCAATTGGTGTTGTCAGCACACTTAGAAATTCCAAATCAAGTCAAGATTACAGTAAACGATTACTGTAAATTGTAAACATGAGTAACATGCTTATGAGCAACAATGCCCAGCATACCCTCTTTAACAGTTCAGCTTGTGTAAACCATCATCAACTTACTTGATCCCATAGGTATTCAACATCCAAAGCGAGCTGCAGCCTGATTTTGTTATCATCACTAATGCCGCTATTTGTTCCCATGCTGCTTGCAGCTGCAGATTTCCGTGCTTGTTTCAGTCGCTTCAGACTCTCCTCCATCTTTTTAACAGAGCTAAGGACATCAGAAACTGTTTCATAATACCTGGAAAGAGGAAGCAATGTCTAGTTTACTGTAGTGTTACCATCCACTTAAGGATGTTAACATCTAAAGAAAATCCAAACATCTTGTTCTAATCAACAGGACGACACCATTATATTTCACATTGTTTTATATAAAACACAAACTTTACTGTATATAGGACAAAGTAATCAAAATCAATGCCATTAAATTAACACTATTGCTTATACCTAGATAAACTGGGTCCTTAGGTTTACTCCTTACTTCCTCAAGAATTATTCTATATGTTACAATATCTAAGAGACATTTACTTCTTTAGGGAACACCATGACATGCCACATTCACTGGAATGTATCATTAATTCTCTTTAGTTCCAGCCATTCGCAGGGATCAAGCTTTAACTTACCAATTCTTGATTATGGATGCCTCCTCTGTACCTTATACTGATTACTTTTCGAATGCTTTTAAGGTAATCTGCTGGTTGCTTTGCCTGTCACAAGAATCCATGATGACGAATACAAATTCTTCCACTGTCTTCAAACTAGGCAATCTTCCAGCTTCTCTTCCCACTCAAAATTCAAACTGAGATAAGCTTCACTTGCATTCCACTCAGTGGATAAAGGAGTTCATTTTTTAAAAATCCTGTTTGCAGTGCTGGCCTAGTTAATCATTTACTTTGACTAACTTAGCGATCTGCAAACCACAGCAGATTCAAACTGTAACTTTTGAGCTTGGATGGATCTGTATACATTATATAGACTCCATTAGTTTCAATCTGCATAGAAATTTCAAATTCCAAATCTCGGGTTCAGTTTTCGTTTTCTTAAAATTAGTGAAGATCGGTTTTATTTCTATTACGGCTTTCTTAGTTACAGCTTGCCTCAAAAAATGCAAATTTTGAAAGCACAGATTCTATCACAATATGGCTTTAACCTTTAAGTGTAATAGACTCCAAGTTTACACTGTTAACATTTTAATTCCTAAAAGTTACATTTTAAAACACATGATGTATGAACTAGATATTTGCATTAGCAGTCTCTGCACCCACAGAATGCTGTGCTGTAAAATTACTTTGATCAATCAAGATTTTGGGAACCAGAAACCAGAGTGGGAATTCCAGAGTTTAAGTACCGTTTGATATAGTGGAGTGACGAAAATCAGGGATTCAAGAATTTGCTTACAGGGCTCAAAGGATGAAAGGCTGGACAGACACAGGAAGAGACTAAGTTATGAAAATGATTACAGTTGAAAATTGAGGCACTGCTGTTCTGGACCAACAGAAGTCAGCTAGCACAGGGATGATGGGTCAGTTTGTTTTTGTGTGTGTTATGACACAAACAGAATGACAACGACAGATGTTGCTGATGGATTAACATTGAGTGAGTTGAAGACAACTTCCCTGCTCTTACACAGCATCTACTTACATTTTTGAGATATTTCACACAAGTCAACAACCATTGGTAGTTGAAGTGGCAGTTGTCAATATAGGAATTGGAGCCACTTGTACACACTAAATGTTTACAAACAGCAATGAAATGAAAGAGCACATAACTGAGGTGCTATTGCTTAAGAAAACAATTTGGCTGCAGCATCAGCAAAATCAACGTTTCTTCTCAAGTAATGCTGTGGGATTTTCTAATATACAACTAAGTTACCAAAGTTGTGTGATAATGTGGGCTTCAGAACTTTGATTGCTATTCATGGACTGAAAAAATTAACAAAGATAAACTGTTACGCATGAAAAACAGCAGTAATAACTCTGGAATAAACTTTCTTGAGATGCAAGGGGCAAGGAGAAACTGTTATAAAGGAATTAAAAGCAACATGCAAATTAACCAAGAAATAATATAATCTACTGCCTGGGAGAGAGGAGATAACAACTGCTTGATAAGCCGCTGCCTATGACAAGTAGGCAATTAAGAATACCTGCAGAAGTAATGCTCTGAAATAAAGCGGTTAATTGCAGGAAAAGCTGTGTCTTAAATAGACAGCTAACTCCGAATGTAACAAGGAACAGGGGAGCTATTTTTGATAAGGAGGCAAGCTTGAGGTGTCCAGAATGTAATCAATGTCCAGAATGAAATAATCTTTGAATCATCACTACAAACTTGAAAGAGAGAAAATTATAGAGTCCAACACCAGAACAATTCAATAGCAGAACGTCTAAGAACAACATCGCATAAGGATCAAATCCTGAACACTTCCAGAGACAGATACTGTTTGTGGAATCCTGGTAAAGTTTCATCATTAATCAGGTAATAGCCAAGTTGAGTTGTGAGGCTTAACTTGCTTACTTGAGGGGTTTTATTTTGATTGCTACATGCAATGAAGTTTAAATCATTGTTTCAGTACTTGATTATTTATGATATTTCTTTAGAAGTAACCAAATTAAACGTGACTTGTGGTGATTTCCCACAGCATTGCATTACCACATAACATCATATGAAAAAGACTACACTACCTAAAATGCAGCACTCTTTCTTAATACTGCACCTTGTAACAACAGTTAAATGCAGTAGTAATAACAGTATGTGGGAGAATAATTATTAACAAAAACTACATAAGAGATTCCTCATAATTGCTTTATATCAGGAGAAATTACCTTTCACTGCAAATTCTGAGAGCACCTGACAACCACTCCTCTATCCTGTTTTCTTTCACAACTGCTTTATACTCGGATTGCAGCTGGTGCAGGGGTTTCAAAGCATTTTCAACATATAAGGAAGCCTTGATAGGGACCTCCTGGAGTAAACAAAATAAAATAAAACTTTTAAAAATTGGCATTATTGGATGTGACAAATCCACAATAGAAGAGATACAATTTTATCCTGCATCACTCCTAGCAAATGAGGAGGTCAGGTAAGTTCAGATAAAATGTGCACAGTAAGCTCCCACAAGCAGCAAGTTGATAATTAGATAATTTGTCCCTTAGTGATCTGATTGATGGGCAAATATTGACCAGGACACTGAGTGAATCCCCTACTCGTGTTCATCTTACATCTCCCGTCCCGCCCCGCCCCCCAAGATCACAGGTGGGAACTCAGTTTATCGTGCCTTCTGAAAGACAGGGCCAGCAACAATGTAGCACAACTCTACACAATGCTACTGCATTGCAAGTTTAGATTGTGTGCTCAGATTTCTGAAGGACAATGTGAACTCAAAACCTTCTGACTCACAGGCAACAGCTGATGCCTAAACACAAAGCTACCTGTAGGTAGTCTATCCACCTTCACACATTCTGATACAGATCTGTGTCTCACTACTCTTCACTTCTATGAATAAACCAAATTCATTTTCATTATTCTGTATTCCCACCCTTGTGGCCCAATCTCCTCTGCAGCACTGTATCAAAAACCAATATCACAGAACCCACTGTCTACTCACACGATCATGTGTCCGTAATGATGTGACTTTTTACATTTCTCTACGCATTTCAATACTCCTTCTTTCCTCCTGGATGCTTATAATGTTTAAACTAATCAGGTTCTGTGGCATTTTATTCCCATTCTTTTCTTCTCCCTCACTTTTTATAAAACTATGTTAGCACCACATTTGTCCTTCTCCAAACCTATCTCAATAAAACGTTAAAAATATCATGCTATAGCAGGAATTTCCTCAAGCATCGTTTATTTTGCAGTGAATTACCTGGCAGCATTTTTGTATATTTTGTGTTAATAATTAGCTGCTGAATAATCAAAGAATCTCACAGCACACAAGTCATCCAGCCCATCGTGCCTGTTCTGGAATCAATCCATGCACAATTATATTCAGTTGTTGCTGTTTACTTTTCTATAGATGGTAATAGAAACAGAGGAGGGAAAATAATGTAATAATTATTATACCTACCTTGTTCGTCCTTCGATACAGCCTGGGCACTTCAGAAGCATTTTTAAGATAACTGAAACAGGCTTCACTCAGTTCCTCAACAATTCTACCACCTAATGCAGGCAGCTTGCTTTCCACTGAAGTCTGAGAATCTGCAAGTGCTTCTGTTAGGGGAACAGAAAAAGTAAACAGAAGGTGCATATTAAATGTACAATGATTAGCCATGAATTTTTAACTAATTCATTTTATCCTGACTTTCCTCCACTTAATAATATTCTTGGTTCACAATGCATTGAAATTGGATGTGACACTGTTTCAATCTGTGTATTAACCAGTCAGGTTTTATTGAGATAGGTTTGGAGAAGGACAAATGTGGTGCTAACGTAGTTTTATAAAAAGTGAGGGAAAAGAAAAGAATGGGAATAAAATGCCACAGAACCTGATTAGTTTAAACATTATAACCAGTATTGGTATTCAATGTGGGAGGACGGGTAAAGGCTTAAGGAAGTGGTTAGTTATACAAAAGTGGAAGTAGGATTGTCCTCTTCTGTTCAGGATGACTCCAGGATTGGCACACCACCTCGGATGGCACTTCAGTGCAGCACTGAGGACATTTTGCATTGTCATAGGTGTCAATTTTTCAGGTCCAATCTTCCAGATTCACTGTTTCAGTTGAATATTAAACTGCACTATGTAAACTGGAGCTGGGAGCTGTCATAGCCGACATTTTTAAGTTGCTCATTCATTTCAATGTTCTCAAAGAAATCTGGCTGTGCACAAAATGACTGCTATGTTTGCATGCTTAAGCCATGTTTCCTACAAACAGTAAGCGCTTCATTAGTTGTAATGGTCCTGCAATGTCCATGAATGGGGATATATAAATTCAAAGGTAGTAGGAACTGCTGATGCTGGAGAATCTGATATAACAAGGTGTAGAGCTGGACGAACACAGCAGGCCAAGCAGCATCAGAGGAGCAGGAAAGCTGACGTTTTGGGTCTGGACCCTTCTTCAGAAATGGGGGAGGGGAAGGGGATTCTGAAATAAATAGAGAGAGGGGGAGGCAGATGGAAGGTGGATAAAGGAGCAGATAGGTGGAGAGGAGATGGACAGGTCAACAAGGTGGGGATGGAGCCAGTAAAGGTGAGTGTAGGTGGGGAGTTAGGATGGGGGTTGGTCAGTCAAGGGAAGACGGACAGGTCAAGGAGGCAGGGATGAGGCTGGTAGGTGGGAGGTAGGGGTTGGTCAGTGAGGTGGGAGGAGCGGATAGGTGGGAGAAACGACGGACAGGTCAAGGAGGCGGGGATGAGCTGGGCTGGTTTTGGGATGAGGTCAGGGGTGGGGAGATTTTGAAGCTTGTGAAGTCCACATTGAGACCATTGGGCTGCAGGGTTCCCAAGCGAAATATGAGGTGCTGCTCCTTCAACCTTTGGGTGGCATCGTCATGGCACTGGAGGAGGCCCAGGATGGACATGTCGTCCAAGGAGTGGGAGGGGGAGTTGAAGTGGTTCGCGACTGGGAGGTGCAGTCGTTTGTCACAAACCGAGCGTAGGTGTTCCACAAAGCGGTCTGCAAACCTCCGATTGGTTTCTCCGATGTAGACGAGGCCACATTGGGAACAGCGGATACTATATACCACATTAGCAAATGTGCAGGTGAATATCTGTTTAATGTGGAAAGTTTTCTTGGGGCTTGGGATGGGGGTGAGGGGGGAGGTGTAGGGGCAGGTGTAGCACTTCCTGCGGTTGCAGGGAAAAGTGCCAGGGGTGGTGGGGCTAGCGGGAAGTGTGGAGCGGACAAGGGAGTCACGGAGAGAGCGGTCCCTTCGGAAGGCAGATAAGGGTGGGGAGGGAAAAATGCCCTCGGTAGTGGGGTCAGATTGCAGGTGGCGGAAGTGGTGGAGTACCATGCGTTGAATCTGGAGGTTGGTGGGGTGGTACGTGAGGACGAGGGGGATTCTGTTTTTGTTGTTATTGTTGTGCTGGGACGGGGTGTGAGGGATTAGTTGCAGGAAATGCGAGAGATGCGGTCAAGGGCATTTTAGACACAGTGGAGGGGAAGTTGCGGTCCTTGAAGAACGAGGACATCTGGGACGTCCAGGAGTGGAATGCCTCATCTCAGGAGCAGATGCGGTGGAGGCGAAGGAATTCAAGTGAAATTCAAGACTGGTTTACTTTTAGATATTTTTCATCAACTTGTTCATGAATGTTATTACACACTTCTAGAACAGATATGACTTGAAACTGGTCCTCCTGGGTCAGAGTACCACCGCACCACAAAAGATCCCCTGACTGGCTCTCCTTTATACTTAAAAGCATAGTTAATCTTTGTTTAACATAGAAAACTGATATATAATCTTATTGCATAGCTGTGCATCAATCTGCCATTTCATTTTTTCTGCCGTTTATTGTCAAGCCTTGCAAAAGGATGATAGATTCCTCAACATTCAGCACATGGGAGAGGCTGATCCTTACAGACAAAGACCACCAAGCCCATACTCCACCCCTAACCCAGACAGACCCAGGAATTTCCACACAGATAACTTTCCTTGCTAGAGAACCATCAACATATTATTGCATGGAACAACTTTAACCCACAAATATTTCTCACAAAACATCACAACCATTTTACTGAATCTTACCTGAAATGAGGGAGAAATTTGCAAACCCGATGTTCACCAGCCTTGGTTTAATTATCTCCAAGAGGCCTGGAAGCTGCAAAGAAGGAGATTTAAAGATTATTGGAAACAACCAGTTTGTTGCAGGAATAAAATCCTCACAGCTGATGAGGAACAGCAGTACAATGTCCCAGTGACCATTCCTTGCAGATAGGTCTCCAGAGCAAAGGTTTGAACGTCATTTTACCATGCAAGTCATTGCAAGCAAGTGTACATTTATCAATAAAACCAGGCATTGGAAGGCAGAGCTCAATTTTCCCTCTTGGCCAATGACGCCAGGGAAATCCCTTTTAATCCGTGAAAACACTGGAGTGGATTTGATAGGACATAACAAATACCCCTGGTTACATGGAATGAGCCTTGGGCTCTATCCTATCATTTACTTCCTACCCCAACCCCCTCCCTAACTTCTGCAAATAAACCGATGTTTTCCCGGCTACCATCAGTTCTGAGGAAGGTTCGCCGGATCCGAAATATTAACTCTGATGTTTTCTTCACAGATGCTGCCAGACCTGCTGAGCTTTTCCAGCAACTTCTGCTTTTGTTCCTGATTTACAGCATCTGCAGTTCTTTCAGTTTTTATCCCTGATTACATATAGGATAAAGTCTCAGCTCTGCAAGGCCAACAATAAGAGAGAATGCGGTGGGCTGAAGTTCAGGGCTTATTCCTAACTGCTCTGATATGGTAAATGTATTCAGGAAGTATGTCAGTTTCACTACAATTTCCATGAACTGGGAAAACTGAGATTGACCAGAAGCCAACTTTTGAAGATAGGGGGATAATGGAGACGGGAGCATTCTAACTTTTCAGCCGAAATGAACAACCTGTAAGGAAGGAATACACACACAACAATCAATTCCAATACTGAAAGGGCAGTTTTCCAGATTTGTGCCTGAGATTGAAATACATACTCCTCTAATAATCCAAGCTTAAAAACAAAGAAATCAACTCAAACCTGTTCCTGAATTTTATCCAGATCTGAAACGAGGTATGCAAGTTGGTTAACAGAAAGAGATGGCACAACTTTAACATCTGAAGTCAGCCCATTTCCCTGGTCTTCGTTACTTTCATTTAGAGAGTTCACTATATTGTTGTTGCTAGCAGCTGAAGCTTTGATCCCATCCTGATCAAGGTCTTTGTTTGATGATGCAATTTTCAACTGTGAAAACGAATAAGATAAGGGAACAAATGCAGATACAGCCACTGTTTTAGTACCAAAAGTATTGCCAGATCACAGGTACATTTTGATTAATGCTATAATATAAAAGGAGACCATTCAGCACACTGGGCTAGTGGGAGGTCTTTTTCCCCGAAACCCAACAAATTTTAACAATTCAAGTTAAGCCCATTCTGCTTTTGAAATGTAGTACTGAATCTGCTCCACTACATTTTCAGGCCATGCATTCTAGACCCCTCAATGAAATCTCCCTTTAGCTTTCTCTGTTCTAAGGAGATCAATGCCAATTTCTCAAACTCAGCACAATAGACAGAAATTCCCTTTCAGACCAAAAGCTTCAGACCTTTCAACTTTAGTACTTTATTTAAAATATTTGCACAGACTAAGTGCACTGCACTTTGCAGGAAACAGATACAAATTTTTATTAAGGGTGAAGTGATCCACTCTGGTACAACTCACAGCCAACTGGAGTGCTGGAACACAGACATCACATTCACATTATGAACCCTTTAAGACTGTGTCTCAGGTATTCTTCTGGAAGTGATATCCTAAAAGAAATTATCCCAGGCTAAAATAGAGGATAACTGCTGATTTTTTGTTACTTGTTCTTGACAACTATTCAAGAAAGGCCAGTATTTGCTGCCCATCCTTAGCTGCAGTGGAGTTAGTGGCGGCGGTGCCTTCTTAAACTGCTAAAGTGCACATGGTGTAGGTGCACACAAGGTGATATAGTGCTGTTGGGGGCAGGGGAGGAAGTTCCCACATTTTAGACCCAGCAACAGTGAAAACACAGTGATATATTTCTATGTCAGGATGGTGTGTGACCTGGACGATAACTTGCAGCAGGTGACATTGTCACATATCTACTGCCTTAGGCCTTCTCAGTGGTAAGGGTCGTAGATTTGGAAGATGCTGTCAATGGAGCCATGAAAGGTTGCCATGATGCATCTTGTACATGGTACACATTGAAGCCACTCTGCATTAATGGTGAAGGGAGTGAATGTTTGAAGTGATGCCAATCAAGCGGGCTGCTTTGCCTTGGATAGTGTTATAGATTCATAGAGTCATAGTGACGTGCAACACGGAAATAGACCCTTCAGTCTAACTTGTCCAAGACAACCAGACATCCCAAATAAATCTAGAACCATGGCAGCATTTGGCCCATATCCCTCTAAATCCTTCCTATTCATATACCCATCTAGATGCCTTTTAAATGTTCTAATTGTACCAGCCTCCAGCACTTCCTCTGGCAGCTCATTCCACACCCACACCACCCACTGCATGAAAAAGTTGCCTCTTAGATTCCTTTTAAATCTTTCTCCTCTCACCTTAAACCTATGTCCTCTAGTTTTGGACTCCCCCACCTGTGGGAAAAGACCTTGTCTATTTACCCTATCCATGCCCCTCATGATTTTATAAACCTCTACAAGGTCACCCCTCAGCCTCCGACGCTGTAGGGAAAATAGCTCCAGCCTATTCAGCCTCCTCCTATAGCTTAAACCCTCCAAGTCTGGCAACATCCTTGTAAATCTTTTCTGACCTGGTTCAAGCTTTACAACATCCTTACTATATCACAGAGACCAGAACTGCATGCTGTATTTCAAAAGTGGCCTAACCAATGTCCTGTACAGCCACAACATGACTTCCCAACTCCTTTGGTCAATGCAGTGACCAATAAAGGCAAGCGTACCAAACGCCTTCTTCGCTATCCTATCTACCTGCGACTCCACTTTCAAGGAACTATGAACCTGCACTCCAAGGTGTCTTTGTTCAGCAACACTTCCCAGGACCTTATCATCAAGTGCATAAGTCCTGCCCTGATTTGCCTTTCCAAATTGCAGCACCTCATTTATCTAAATTAGCTTTTGAATGGAATATTTTAAAAAGTGTTACTTTTCTTAGCAGATTCCTCCCTTTACTCTGGTTTCCTCCCACAGTCCAAAGATGTGCAGGTTAGGTGGATTGGCCATGCTAAATTGCCCATAGTGTCTAGGGTGGAAAATGCAGGGATACAGCAGGGTTTGGGTCTGGGTGGGATGCTCTTCAGAGGGTCAGAATGGACTCAGTGGGCCGAATGTCCTGCTTCCACACTGTAGGGATTCTATGATAGCTTTCTATGAAAGATTCAGCTAGTAAAAGGAAAACACTGCAAATCAGCAATAAAAATAGAAATTGCTGGAGAAACCCAGCAGGTCTGGCAGCATCTGTGGAAACAGAAACAGAGTTAGCATTTTGAGTCATATCAGATTTGAAGGATGAACTGTTTTTCTTTCTCCACAGATACTGCTGGACCTGCTGACTTTCTCAGCACTGTGTTTTTTCATTTCAGCCGATATGTGTTTAAACAGCTTGCCCTATGGCGTCATTAGTTAGATTACTGACCTACTGGAACAAGTTGGGTTTCCTCACTAGGTTCTAGAGATGTTCCCTTCTCTTGCTCACGCAGAAGAGGTACACTTGCTTCACTACGCTTCTTGAGTTTGTTGCAGCTGAACTCAACCAGGCAAATAGAAAATATACCATCACATTCCTGGCTGGTGCCTTGCAGATGGTGAGCAGGGTTTAGGGAGACAGGTGGTGAGATACTCGCTGCAGAATTCCCAGCCTTTGAGCTGCTACTGTAGCCATAATGTCTATTTGGCTGGTCCAGTTTATTTTCTGATCAAAAACAGATGAGGACCGGAAACGTTAACTCTGATTTTTTCTTCACAGATGCTGCCAGACCTGCTGAGCTTTTCCAGCAACTTCTGTTTTTGTTCCTGATTTACAGCATCCGCAGTTCTTTTGGTTTTTATTTTCTGATCAATGCTAAACCTAGAATGCTGACAAAAGGGGATTCAATGATAGCAAAAGCTTTGAAAGTCATAGGGAAATATACCTTTTCTTGTTAGAGATATTGCAGAGGCAGGTTTCTCTGGATTGACAGTTACTTATAAATCCTCAACTGTAACAATTAGAATGGCCTGTTTAACAAAGTTGAGAAGAAACTATCAGGATATAATATTAAAAAAACACTGAGTGGCATTGTTCTGTGTGTGATGCTCAAATCATTCAGTTGCAAACATGATACATAATCATACAATTTGGTGAAGGTTAGTGGGAAGCCAGAGGATTAGGAAGCCTTTAAAAACCAGCTGACCACAACTAAAAAAGCAGTAAGAGGGTAAGCTAGGTACTAAAATAAAAAAAATTGCAAGAATTTTTCTCAATATATAAAAAGTGAGAAAGAGGCAAGAGTGGACATTGGACCACTGGAAAATGAGGCTAGAGAAGTAATAATAATGAGGATTAAAGAAATGGGGGAGGCACTGAACAGGTACTTTGCACCAGTCTTCACAGTGGAAGACATCAGTGGCATATCAGAAATTCAAGACAGTCAGGGCCATGGGCGAGTGTAATGGCCACCACTAAGGAGAAGGTGCTGGGTGAAGCTGAAAGATCTGAGGATGAATAAATCACCCAGACCGGATGGACTACATCTCAGGGTTCTGAAGGAGACAGCTGAGGAGATTGTGGAAGCATTGGTGGTGATCTTTCAGGAACCAATTTAGTCAGGGAAGATCCCAGAGGACTGGAAAATGGCTAACGTAAGGCCCCTATTTAAGAGGGAGAGAGCCAGACGACAGGAAATTATAAGCTGGTTAGCCTGACTTTGGTCATTGATAGGATTTTACAGTCCATTATTAAGAACAAAGAACAGTATAGCACAGGAACAGGCCCTTCAGCCCACCAATTCTGCACTGACACCTGACACTTTTCTAAACTAAAAACCTTTTTCCTCTACATAGTCCACATCCCTTTATTCCCTACCAAATCATAGATCTGTCAAGCTGCCTCTTAAAGATTATTACTGTATCCATCTGCATCAGCTCCTCTGGCAGTGTATCCCTGGCATCTACCACTTTCTGTGTAAAACAATGTGCCTCTCACATTTCCTTTAAACTTACCACCTTTAACCTTAAACTTATGTCCCCTAGTAACTGACATTTCTACCCTGGGAGAAGGATTCCGAATATCCATTCTATCCATGCCTCTCATAGTTTTGTAATCATCTCTCAGGATCACCCCTCATCCTTTGACGTGAAGTAAAATCAGTTTTATCCAGTCTCACCTCACAGCTAATACCCTCCAAACCAGGCAACATCCTGATAAACCATTTCTGTACCGCCTCCAAAGTCTCCACATTCTTTTGAAAGCGTGATGACCAGAAATGTGGCCTACTAAAGTTCTATACAGCTGCATCATGACTTGCCAATTTTTACAGTCTGTGCTCCGATCAATAAAGTATGCCATACGCTTTCTCGGCCACTTTATCCACTTGTGTTGACACGCACATACATACACAGAGAGAGAGAGAGCATGCAAACAGTACAGACAGTCATCCAAGGCTGGAATCGAACCCAGGTCCCAGGCACTGTGAGACAATAGTGCTAACCACTGAGCTACTGTGCCACCACAATCCACAGCTTCCCCCAATCTGTGTTGTCTGCAAACTTACGGATCAGGTCATTTACATTCTCCTCCAAATTAATTATATATCTTACAAACAGCAATGACCTGTGTGGTACCACTAGTCACAGATTTCCAGTCAGAAAAACACTCTTCCATTGCTACATCCTGTCTTCTGTGACTAAGCCAGTTCTGTATCCATCTTACCAGCTCATTGAAAATCCCATGTAACTTCACCTTTTGTATCAGCCTGTCATGAGGGGCTTTGTCAAAGGACTTGCTAAAGTCCATATAGACATCTACCACCCTGCTCTCAATCATTGCTGTCACTTTCTCAAAAAACTCAATCAAGTTTGTGAGTCACCACCTTCTCCACACAAAGCCATGCTGCCTAACACTGATTAAGCCCATATTTTTCCAAATGTAAGTAAATCCTATCCATAAGAATCTTCTCCAATAATTTCCCTACCACTGACACAAAGCTCACTGGCCTGTAATTTCCTGGGTTATCCCTGTTGCCTTTCTTAAAACAA